GCTCACATCGAAGGCTACATGTTCCACATGCATACTTTAGTCATACCATAATTAAAACAGTAATTAACATTTAAGGCATAGAAATTTTTACAATTACAACCCACCTGGAAAGTTCGGTAGATAATAGCACACAAAAGCAAGCACGTAGGATGAGGCTCGGCTCCTCAAACACCTACATTTAAGTGAGATAATTTATCAATAATTTATCTCACTACTCGAATTTAACATAAAACCCATACTTAATAAAAATTAAGATTTACGGGTTTTAATCGGATTTTTCGTGGAATTGGAACTCTCTAATTTTTGAAAAAATATGACTCGGAGAAGTAATTTGGGGTCTCGGAACTTAAAATAATTTTTCCCAAATTTTTATACTTTGAAAATAATTTTAAAAACAAGTTCGGGTCGAAAAACGGGCTTCAAAACATAAAATAGGCTTAAAATGGCAATTGGGTCGGGCCTTATCATGCTTGCCCAAAAATTGCCAAACAGTTGGGCCTTATGCGCATGATGGGCCGAATATATACCCAATTTGGGCTGGAAACAAGGCCTGATAACCAGGCTTAAATCCGCGGGCCAAAGGCTGGGCTTGGACTAGGTCGGCGGGCTTCAGCTGTTGAGGGATTGCTGGCTGCACGCGGGCTGGTATCGGGCCAGATGGCCCGCGCGCTTTAGAAGCTGACAATAAAAAAAAGCCATTTTGCAAGGGTTGGGATTCGAACACGCGACCTCGCGTATCAAATAATACGATTAACCGTTGTGCTACACGAGTTGAATGCAACATAATTTGCAGAGTTTACAAAATGAATTTTTTTTTTTTTGAACAGAACTAAAACTGAAACAAAAGCTGCGAATTTGAAAGGCCAGTTAGCAGTTTGAACAAAACTTTATGCTACAGATTCCAGCAGCTAAATCCACAGAAATTTTTCAAAATAAAAATAGGAAACAACACCTAACGGTTCGCGAACAACCAAACGACATAACGACTACGACAAGGATCCAATCAATAAAACGAGACTCTGAAATTAAACGAATTTGCCAAAACAATAGTTTCAAGACATTGTAAAATTCTGGTAACTCGTACACATTCAGAGTTTCGAAAGGCCATAAGAACCGGGTTCGAGCAACAAATAACCGGCCTGAACAATATACTTACACGAGTAATGAATATAGCAACCCGGAAAAATTTAACGAGACTCCAAATACGAACGATTTAATCACAGTAATACGGTTAGGCCCCTCACAACAAGAGAGTTCCGAAAATCCACGACAATTTCACAATCATTATCCGACGAACACAACGATTATGCGAGTCGAAAACAACAATTAAACTTGCACTATATAGTCAACAGATTATCCAAAATACGCAGGGATAGTCGAAGAAGGTCCGAAATAAATTACCCGTCTTCGGGAATTTGCGAGAATTTGGAAAAACAGACGAGACGATCGAGAGCCTCAAAGCTCGAGACCTTTGGAAGCGACGCAGCTCACGAACGGTTGCTGCTCTGAAATTGACGACGACGGTCACCCGCAGCAGAGGGCGTCGGCGACGGCATGACGCTGCTCGATGCTAGCTGGAAAAGGGGTCGCGACGGGACGGCTACTGTGGCTCACGAACGGACGCCGGGAGTAGATGCTGCAACGGTACGGTGGCGATCGCCGGCAACAATGGCGAGANNCTTGTTGGCGGAAATTGCAGGTACAAAATCAATTGATTGCGAGAGGATTGAGAGATTGGGGTACTGATTGAAGGGTTTCTCACCGGTTTAAGTAGATGAGAGGATACGGTTGAGAACGGTCAGATTGAACGGGGTGAGGAACGATTATCGCGCGATCGTGCCAAGATAATCTCCCACAAGATCGCTACCTGAAATTGAGCGGACGGCTTGGTCGAAGAAGCGATCAGAAGAGGAGAAAACTCGCTGGACTGGGAGCCCAACATCTCATGAGCCCAAAATAAATCATCTCTTTATTGGGCTAAGGCATAAACATCTCAATTTGGGCCAAAAAAAAATCAATAAGAAGTTGGGCCGCGAAATTAATTACATTGGCTAGAAAAGAATGGCAAAAACGCCGATGAATTAAGTCGCTTCGGGCCGAAATAAAATATACGCGATATAAGAATTCTCAAGATGCTCGAACGACGGTGAGTAATAAATTTATCCGGATTATCTTTATTTATAATACACATCATATTTTAAAATAATAATATAATAGTAGTAAAAATATGCATTTAAACAAATAGTTACAATTTGACAATTAAAAATATTTAGACAATTAATATTAATAATAGTAATATTACTAATAACAAATAAATAATAGCAATTTGACAGTTAATAGCAATAATAATAATAATAATAATAA